AAATATTAGAAAACCTAAATACTCATGTGTTGGGAGCCAGCCATGGAGGCCCACTGAGCGTTAGGGATCAGGGAGGGCCGTGAACCCTGAGACCATTAGGATGTGTTCGGGAGCTGTTGACCCCATTCCCTCCTCCCTTTTTCTATTTGTCACACTTGGCCAAAAGGAACTCTACTGACCTAAGCTGAAGTCTCTGTGACTGTGACAGGCATGGCTCACTCTAGAAACTCATTGTTCCTGTTTCCCATGAACTGTGGTTTTAGCTTAGGTATTAGATATAATTCAAACTCAGGTCACATTTGGGAGCCTTTAATATGGTACAAGCTTCTTTATAAGTTTTAAAAGTATATTTGTAGAATTAGTATATATATGGAGAACTGTTTTCAGCTTTAGATGGTATAGATGATTATCTAGAGTTACCAGAAATGGCCCAGCATGAACTTTGGACTGGGCCACATTCCTAAGGGCCCAGCATGTACTTTGGACTGGCTGCATTCTTTTAAATCAGTTTTAACTACAGTTAGTGTAGGGTTTTTCTACTTATTATAGAAATTAAATTTATTTTACTCATAGAAAGTATTGTAGAATAGGTCATGCTAACGTCAGGGAATTATGTTAGTTCAAGCATGATCAAACATGATATTTTGAGGTTTAATAAGAATACAGCTAACTTTAGAAATTTCATTGTTCCCATTTTCTACTATTGTGGTTTTGGCTTTAGTACAATTTACAGTTTATATTTGGGTTTTATTTTTAGAAGCTTTATTGCTGATGATCAGCTTTATATACTAGGATTAGGAATTAGAAATTTTATAGAAATTAAGATAGATATATAGGATTTTAGAATAGCCATTTTGTTAAGAGATTGTAATCAATTGTTCCTAGAAACAGCCCAGCGTGATCTTTGGACTGGACCACATTCTTTATGAACTGGTTTGAGCTATAATTAAGAGTTTCTGATTCCTAATCCTGGTATAATTAGCACAGAATAGAAAGGTATTAGGATTTAAGTTAGTCATTAGGTGTTGTGTATGCATAAGCTTTAGAAGTTATTGATTATTAGAATATTATGTTAGAATTGTTGTATTGCTTTTGAGGAACATTAACCAAGCATAAAGAACCGTGAGATAATTTTGAGATTGTCTTTCCTCATGCTTGGGAAAATGCCTGGTGGGTGGGGGACGCCCCTCATCCACCTGGCTTTGTGTTCACATAAAAGTCTTGTGATTTAATTGGGATTGTCCTTCCTCATGCTTGAGGAAACACCTGGTGGGTGGAGGAATGCCCCTCATCCACCTGGCTTTGTGTTCACATGAAAGTCTTGTGCTTTAACCTGTGAAAATTTGGGATAAAAGACTTACGATTTGTCCCATTAAACGGCTTCTGCACTAGACAGAGTACAGTCTCTTTCTTTCTCCCCCCTTTCTTTCTTTTATTATCTAACCCCTCCAGATTCGCCGACGCCGCCACATCTTTTCAGGGACCCCCCCAAAACCTGCAGGGGCAGGCCCCCGCACTCATGAAAAACAGATTAAGTAAATTATGAAATATCCATACAAAAAACCTATTATTGTCATGTAAATGAGTGAGATGAATCTGAAAATGTGCCCATGTTGTATTAGTATTAAGTAAAACAAAGCAGGATTGTAACATATTGTGTCTAATATCATCACAGTTAGGTAAAAATATAGACTTATATTTTGCTATTTTGCATATATATTTGCTATCAGTATTAAACAGTAAATTGTTAAAAGTGTTTATCTGTAGGAAATGGTTAGTTAAGGAGAGATTTTAAAAATTCTATACAATAAATGTGTTACTTTTGAATAAGCCAGAATTTTAAAGACGTTCCTATTTTGAAGAAAAGAAATGAAGAGAGAAACTTTCCATGTGTTACAAAATAAATATGAACAAAATTCTGAGATGCCACGTATCCACCTGAAGTCTCAATATGTTGATAAATCTACCTCATAAAACGTTTTTGTTTGTTCATCTGTTTTTAAAATGATCTTTATTTACTTTAAAAAGCAAATGTCACACCTTAGCAAAAATGAATTTCTGGATGCTTAATTCATTAAACCTTTTGTAAATAAAATGAGCTCTAGGACTGATTTCAGAAAATGTTTGAAATGTAACAATTTAAGAAAATATTTATTATTGCTTTATTACAGCTTATTAAAAATATCAAACTGTACAAAATGTAGAAACTTAAAAGGTCTTCTCTCCCTCCTGTGTCACCAGTGGTTCACTAGAGGAAAACATTCTTAGTAGCTGTAATTAATAGAGGGAACTTCTCCAAGACTGGCTGTGTAAACCCAAGCATATGGAAACGTATCCCGTCTTTCAGTTCACAGAGATTTACTGAGTGTCTCTTACATTCTAGTCAGAGCCCTAGGAACTAGAAAGAGCACAGTTTTCTGCCACTTACTCACTGATAGAACTCTCACATGTGCTAAGTGCCATGTTAATGGAACAGATTCGGCCAAGGACAAGGCCGATTCTGTCCCTGTCACCACCGAGCTGGCTTTCTAGAAGGCAGGCAGGCAAGAGACCAGAAATGCAGACAAAAGCAAATCAGACTGCTGCTAATTAAAAACAACTGCGAGGGAGAAAGAGGCAGGATCCTGTGAAAGGGAATAACAGAGAGTCCTAGTCTAGGCCGGTGGTCGGAGAACTCTCTGAAGTGGAGATGTGGAAGTCCAGAGAATTTCAACAGAGGGACTAGCAGGTGTACAGGCCATGGGTGAGGAAAGGCTTGGCAGGAACTGAGAGAGCTAGGTGGCTGTAGTGTGGTGGGCAAGGTGGGCAGGGGTAAGAGATGGTATTGGTGGGGTGGGCAAGGTTAGAACACACCTGGCTTTGAGAGGCCTGGTAGAGTTTGGACTTTATTCTAAGTATAATTAGGAACCACCAAGGACTTTAAGCAGGGGAGTGATATGATCAAATTTGTTTGCAGGATAGGTTGGAATAGGACCAGAAGGTAATGTGGAGACTGATTAAGAGGCCATCACATTGTCTACACAAGAGATGATAGTGGCTTGGGTTGAGATGGTAGAAATAAGGCCATACCAAGGTCTTATTCTGCAGCTGGGATGCAATGGTATTTGAGGTACTGGAATCCCTAAGTTCAGAAGTATGGAGGCTGTCTTTCAGAGTTCCTGGGGAATTCAAACTCCTAAAGGAATGGGCACAGTGGTTCAGAGGCTAAGTGTATAGTGGTATTTATAGCAATGTTGCTTATAGGGGAAAATGCTGGACATCAAGAGAATATCTACCCACAGGGAGTTGTTGAATGGATGAAGATACATCCACATCACAGACTCTTATATAGCCATTAGAGTGTCCCCGACTGACTTGGAGGGATTTCCACAAAGGGTTGTTGAGTAAGAAAAGCAAGATGAAGAATGTGTTTAAACTTTCATTTATAAGACAAATTTTTTCTACATTTGTGTTTGGATTTGATTATATGAGCATGGGGAAAAAATGGAAGGTTGCATATTAAGTTGTTGATGACACCTGTTGGGATGGGAACTGAAGGAAAGAATTAAATTAAAAAAAAAAAGAATCAAATTAAAAAAAAAGAAAAAGAAAAATGTACCGAAAAGACAAATCTGCTCACTTATTCATTTTTATTAAATTATATATGTTGTGTAAGAATTTTTAAAAATGCAACTTTTAGGAGGCTGGCATTGGGTCTATATTGGCTGGCATCAAGCATAACGCCTGTGTACAGCAGGAAGCTGCTGGGCAGAGGGCATCACTCCTCCTCCCTGAGTCATGGTGAGCACCCCCGTGGTATTTCTGCTACCTCCGGTTTCTTTACCCATCAAAACTCTGTTTCTTTGCCCATGAAGATTATGTAAGAATGTTGCTTGGCTTGTTTGGGAATCGCATTTCTTTACTACGTTCTCTTATAGTTTTGTAACTTTACAGGAGACAAATATACTTTACGCCACCCTGTGGCATAAAACCAAACCTCTTCCAGCACAGGGACCCCTTTTTGGTCCCCTTGAATAATCAAAGTAAATGCCGACTGGCCCCATGCTTACATATAGAGTTCAGGATGTTTGTTGAGAGAACAAATGATGTGCTCTGATAACCTCAAAAATGATTTCCCCTAAAAACTGGCACCCTTTAGGGCAGGAGAGAGAAAAAGCCCTAGAATTTGGGTTTTAACTGCCTCATCTAGCAAGCTCTGCTCAATTATTTTTTTCCTCTTTAAATCCATGCTATATTGAGTCAAAAAAAGGCAATTACAGTGTGGCATAAAGTATATTTGTATATTAGAATGGGGAAAAATACATACCATATTTAATAGCTGATGTCACTAAGTGATAGGATTTGGGAGTCATTTTAACAGAATGTTTCCCTTGGGTTTTTTTTTTTTTACTGATTTGTACTTTTAAGTTTTTCCATAATTCTCATGTATGATGATGATAATGATAAAAGCTTTTTAGTTGTGTTTAAAATAATGCCCTAGCTCATAGTAGACCCACAATAAGTATTTTTGAATAAAGATTGATTTTTTTTTTTAATTAAGAAAGCCGTACACATTTATTTTAGAAACTAGGCCAGAACTAAGCACAAGTAAGGGAAAAAAGGCTTACAGTTTTGCCATTCAGAGATCATTCTTTACCATTGTCTATGATTTTTCAGTTTGATTTATTAGACATATGTAACACACAGTATTTTCTAAATGGAAGTTTCACAACCCCTTTCTCTCTCTTCTTATCCTCTTTCCCATCTTTCTTTCTCCCTGACTCTCCCATTACCACGATAAGAGAAAAGCAGCTGCCAAGTGGCTTAGAAATGTGTGTCAGCAGCAAAGGGGCCCCTCTTCCCAGAAGGAAACAGCTCTTGGCCTGCAATATTACTTGGTGTATTAACTGACTTTCCAGAGCTTCCCAAGCACCTGCACAAAGTGTGTGACCTTCAGGAGACCATGACGGCATCCCTCTGCGTTGGACCCAGCCTAAAACTCTGCAATTTTCTCTTTGTAGGCATTTTCAGCTTTTTACTTTGTGATGAATTTTTTAAACGTGACATCAGAGAAAGTCTCTTCTCTGGAAAAAGTGATTGAGATGGTGGAAAATTTCTGCTCTAGGCCTTGGCAGGAGGTAAGTGATTAGACACAGCAGCTATCACAATTGCCCTGAGTCGCTAATAGCATGGAAGGTGAGTCTGCTCTTCAACTCCTGCTGGTATGACCAAGACCTAGCAAATGTGTTGGAGAAGCCCAGAGGGGGGACGCAGAAAGCAAAGCATTCCTTGATCATTTGACACACCGTAGCATAAATACGATCTTCTTCTTCTCACCCTTGTGAAATCTGGCAATAGGCAGCCGGTGGCATGTTCAGCAGCCCAACTATGCCTCAATCACTGCTTCTTTAGTTCTGCCTGTGTCCTCATGGACATAAAATGGCCGCTGTGGCTTCAGGCATCACAGCCATGTTCAAGGTCAGAAGGGGAGAACCAAATACATTTGTTCCTTTTTACTGGCAGGCGAAAGCTACCCAGAAGCCCCTTGGCAGTCTTCCCCTTATATGTATCATTGGTTGGGATTTCCTGGGAAAGCAAGGGACAGAATTTTATGACTCTCTTAGAGCCTGGGAGCCACCATGAGCCACTGCCTGGAACTGGACACTGTGTGGGCCCTTTTCTCTCTCTCAACTCCCAAATTAGAATTCTATTAGTAAGGAAGACAGGCAGTTCGCAGGAACCATTGTGGTAAGACCCCTTCTCCCTTGCTCAGGTCCAAGATATCTTGTATTTATGAATTTTTCTTGCCCAAGGCACTGAGTCATTCAAGATCCGGTGATACCTGATGAAAGTTCCTAGGGAGGAGAGAGATATGAGTCCACCCTGATTATTAAAGACAGCTCATCTGGGGGTGGCTCCAGAAAGCAGCTGTTTTAAGTTGACACAGTTGCAATGGGAATGACGCTTTCATTCCTAGGACATTCCATTAATGCGAAGTAGATGCTTGTCCTTGTCTGCCCTCACAAGGGAGGGGGGTAGGAGAAAGGCTGTGCAAGGGTCTGGACCTGGCACTATCTCCAGGTATTTTGTCGAGTTAGATCACAGAAGATGTGTGATCAGGCCTTTCAGCAAGAGCTGCTCAAATATGCCCCAGCACGTTACAGTTGGCAAAACATTCAGGGAAGGCTTTCTGCAGCTGGTGTCGATTGGTGGAGGAACTAGAGATGTCCTGGCCTGATGCCATCGGACTGAGGGCAGGAGAGGGGCAGAGGAGCCTGCGGGCATATGCTGTATATTCACAGCAGCTGGGATAGGGAGGGGCAAGGGGTGATGTAGGGAGGAGGAAGGACTCAAGGACGCAATGACTCTGCGGGACTCAGATGCAAAAAAAGAGGTGAAGCAGAGATGGAAGACAGAAGGGGAGATGTCGGCCCTGGGAGCAGTCCTCAGCAAAGCACTTCCTAAACTGTGTTCCAGAGCTGTGCTGTGCTGTGCACATGAATCACCTGGGACTCATATGAAAATGCAGATCCTGAGGCAGTAGTTCTGGAGTGAGACCTAACAAGCATTCAAGCGATGCTGCTGCTGCCAGTCCAGGGACTAAATGGAATAGCACAACTTTTTATGACACTATTTTCTTAAGATGCTTATAGAGGCTCTGAGCTAAAGACTCTGGTCAAGAGCACATAGAAAACTCTGATTAAACAAAGATTAATGGATTTTTTTTTCCATGCAATACTTTTCATGGCTTTAATATGCTAATATTACTGTGAAACTCCAAGTTTCTGGGATGAAAGGGGATACTGAAATTAGTGTTTCTGAACCCACTTGACCCCCGGAACCCCCGGTATTCCAGGAAGACCTATTAATATCTCACAGAACCCTGTGCAGGAAGATCTTCCTTAAAAGATTCTCAACTCTAGACCCCTGTCCCCGCTGAAGGAGTGCAGGACCACCCCAAAGCCCCCCTTGGGAGAGGCCAACCCCCAGGCCTTCGTGAACTGGAGCTGGGGGCTTTCTCCTCTCTTCTTCAGGTCTGGTAGTGAGGAAGAGGGTCCAGAGAGGTGCCTAGTGTACGAGTGTGATTGTCCTTCACTTCTCTTACAGATAAAGACATCTTTTGCTAGAGTGAAGGAGAGATATCTGAGTGAATACTGCTTTTCTGGTACCTACATTCTCGCCCTCCTTCTGGAAGGCTATCATTTCACAGCTGATTCTTGGGAGCACATTCAATTCATTGGCAAGGTAATCTGGGTTCCTTTTGGGTTGAGGGGAGGCTGGGGATGGGCGGTGGTGACTGAAGCAACTTTGGGAATCGACCTGCTTGAGTTCCACCACTCCACCCTCAACCCAAGCTGGCATTCTGGGTCAAGCCCTCCTGGGCGTGTTGACCAGCTGTGGGCATCCTCTCTAAGGAGAGCACCTTGCTTCCCAGATAACAATGACCAATTCCTTACAAAACACAAAACAAGACATTAAAGGAACAACATTTTGGTAGCCACAATGATCCTGTGTGTTGACTTCAGCAATCCTTTGAAGGGCCCCTTCCCAAGCTGGAAAAAGGATCAGGGTCTCGTCGTCTTTGCTGGTCGTTACTTCAAGCTTGGCCAAACTGAAAGCTCTGTGTGAAGAAGGGGACTGAGTGGCCGTGAGTGACAAAGCCACTGCTTAAAAGCCAGGCTTACCATGAGCCCTGGTGACACAACCTCACTGCTATACCTTGCCATAGCACCACCCACAAGTGTCCAGGAATAGAGGAACATTGACATTGGCTCGGGCGCTCACACTTGAGGAAAAATAACAAGAGCAGTGTTTCTCTACCTTTTTAAAGCCATGCCTGCTAATGGCAAAAACATTTTACCCCCTGCTTTAAATACAGTGTTTTGAAGCAAAACAAAGCATTGAGGCAGAGAGCTGTGGCAGCCCCAAGGATACCCGTTTCATTACACGCTTGTCAGTATTGACCTTGCTAATTCAAATGTCTATCTTTTCCTTGTTATAATATCCCAGACTTCCTTCCATTCCATCACTGGTTATTTTGTTTGCAGGATATATCTATGTTAAATTTAGGACTGACACGCAGTGATTTATATTCTTTGAATTCCTCTAGTGTGTGATCCCATATTTCCCAGGTGATAACTCTTCTAATTCTGGATTCTGCTTTGAAACATGCAGTCAGATAAGGTTTCATCCCTCGCAGAGGGAAGCAGTTTTTAAATTTTTTTACAGATCATTAACTTCTTATACTGGCAAGGGTACTTGCTTCCAATGATGAGAAGGGAATGATTTTGATGAGAAGGGAATGATTTTGATGAGAAGGGAATGATTTCCACATGATTTTGCAAATTGGCATGACCTTTCGGGAAACTTTTGACAATATGTGCTAAGAGCCTTACAGACGTGCACATTATTTTGTCCAATTGCTTCATTTCTAGAATTTATAATAGTTGGATAAAGTGAGTAATAGTGAATGTACAAGGCAGTTCATGCCACTGATGCTGATGATAATGTAGAAATAGCTTAAGTGACACGGAATGGTGTTCACAAGGTTTTGTTATGTGAGTTTTTCTACATGCAATTTAATCCCTTTTTTTTTTTTGAGTTGGAGTCTCACTCTGTCGCCCAGACTGGAGTGCAGCGGCCGCTCCCGGCCACCGCAGCCTCGACCTGCTGGGCTCCGGCGATCCTTCCGCCTCAGCCTTCCAAGTAGCCGGAATTACAGACATGCACTACCATGCCCGGCTGATTTTTGATTTATTGTAGAGATGAGGTCTCGCTGCCCAGGCGGGTCTCGAACCCGCGGGCTCAGGCAATCCACTCACCTCAGCCTCCCAAAGACGCGGGATTACAGGCTGAGCCACCGAGCCCGGCTTTAATCCCATTTTTGGTAAGAAAAAACATGCACACAAAGGACTGGAAGGACATGCCACCAAGTGATGGCAGCATACTTTTCTGAGTGACAAAGTATGGATGGCTTTCATTTTCTTCTTTAGAATTATCTGCACTTCCTAATTTTTCTACTTTGACCACACACAGCTCATGCAAAAAAATTTCAAATTATTTATTATTCATCGACCCCTGTGTTCCAATAAGTCTTGGAGCAACTGGAAGCTATTCCTAAGAAGATGGAAGCGTCACAGCATGTTTCACCATTTAATAAGAATCTTTTCTCACACACGGGCGCAGTCTTCCAACTTCCATTAAGGAAGACTCACTTGCTGGGATTATTCCCTGGTTTTTCTCTAGCTGAAACATCAAGAAGTCCTGGTTTTGTAGGGGTGAGTTTCCCGGGCCTGATAAAGATGTAAAAACCCAGTGACAATCATTATTCCCTTATCCCTTTGCCCGCTCCCTGTCACCGTCCCATCCCTCCCCTAGACCTCAGTGCACACAAACAAGAAAACAGGAATGCCAAGCTCCAAGCGGTTATTTGAAGTAAGTTCTTCTAGGTGGGAAAATCAGGTGGTCATTCGCCCAGTTCCTCTCTGAGCTTTGGGAATGTTCTAGTGAGGCTCCAAACCAAACACTCTCTCTGAGTTCCTTGCTCATACGTTCTTTTCCCCACAACTGTATCCCAGTTTACAATATAAAAGCAAGCCGAGCCAGGCGTGGTGGCTCATGTCTATAATCCCAGCACTTTGGGAGGCGGAGGCAAGAGGATTACCTGAGCTCACGGGTTCAAGACCAGCCTGGGCAACATGGCGAGACCTCGTCCCTGGTCTCTAAAAAAAAAAAAGCAAACCGGTCAGAGAACTGATCGTGGTGCTCTCCATCTGCTGGGTTCTCGGTGTCATGGGTGGGACTGGGCGGAAGCGGCCAGTTCTTTGCCAGCCACAAACCACAGATTTCTCCCACTGTTTGCAGATCCAGGACAGCGACGCTGGCTGGACCTTGGGCTACATGCTGAACCTGACCAACATGATCCCGGCTGAGCAGCCACTCTCTGCACCTCTCTCCCACGCCACCTATGTCTTCCTCATGGTTCTCTTCTCCCTGATCCTGGTCGCAGCGGTTGTCATAGGCCTGCTACTCTTTCACAAGCCGTCGTATTTCTGGAAAGAAATGGTATAGCAAGAGCAGCTGAGATCTGCTAGCTGGAGTGAGAAAAAACTTGCCCGGGGAGCAGCTTTCTCCACGGCGGTGTGCAAGGGTGTCATACCCTGCTCCTCAGGGCCAGTCTTGACAGTGTGAAGCTTCCTTGGCCCTTGCTGAAGCCTTTCTTTGGGAAGTGTTCACCATCCTCTGCCTCAGGGACTTCTGGGCAGATGCTGTCTCTTTTTGGGGTCTTCTGCAGCTACCCTCTTCACCTGTGTACTCTGTGCTTGTGTAGGTCTTTAAGACCTGCCACCTTCCATGATCTTCGCTTTATAAAAGAACAATATTGACTTTGTTTAGAAGAACTGAGAGTCCTGAGTCCTGTGCTGGGAAGTTGAGCTGGCTAGAAGAAGAATCTCAGGAACTGGTTCCGTTGTACTCTTTAGGAATAGCTTTCTCTCTCCTGCTTCCCATCCATTGAGAAAGCCATACAATGCCTTTGGAGAGGGCGGAAATACATCCCATTTCCAGCCTTCCCTTTGGGTGGGAGAATTTTCTAGGACAGGAAAATATGTGCTAAGGCCAAAGAGCTCTGCAAAGGAATCTATGTGCTCATGCAGTTCATACAATTCTTAATCCCACTCGTGAATATGAATGAGTCACATATTCCTGAGTGATGTCAAAATGCTAGACTAGGGATTGGATTTGATTTTTTTTTTTTTTTTTTAGAGACTGGGTCTTGCCCTGCATCCCAGACTAGAGTGCAGTCATGTGATCATAGCTCACTGCAGCCTCAAACTCCTGAGCTCAAGTGATCCTCCTGCCTCAGCCTCCCGAGTAGCTGAGACTCCAAGCACATACCACCCATACCTGGTTAATTTTTTTGTTTCTGTAAAGACGATGTCATGCTATCTTGCCCAGACTGGTCTCAAACTCTGGCCTCAAGCAGTCCTCCTATCTCAGCCTCCCATTATGTTGAGACTACAGGGGTGAACCACTGCGCCTGGCCCTAGACCAGAGATTTTTAAAAAGTAGATATACATAGAGGCATTCAAATATCAGGGCATACCATGTGATACGTGTGTACATGTCAGGAAGAAAAATACAGTTACAACTCAGGGTCAGAAACAATGTATCCTTCAGTGCCTCTTATGGGGTTTTGTTTTTATTATGGTAAATATACATAAAGAAAACTCACCATTTTAGCATTTAATTCTTATTAAATACATACAAATCAGTGACATTTAGTACAATCACAGTGTTGTACAACCGTCACCACTATTTGGTTCCAGAACATTTTTGTCGTCAAGAAACTGTCTGGAAACTAGACCATCCTGGGTAGGCACAAACCACAAACCCTTCTGCTAACAGCTATGCTAATCAACTGCACCACAAAGATGGCTCCCTGTGTTTTAACGCCACAGCATAACTTACTGTCCCAGGGTTTAATTTAGTGAGAGGATATCATTAGTGTGGAATAGTATGCTTTTGCCCTGTCATGGTATTTACATATCAAAATGTTCCAGGAAGCAAGATCAAAAAGTGTTGTTGCCACCCCGGTGACAGTATGGGCTTTGATTACTTATTCCATGGAATATTTTGTGGGGGAAGCAGCAGCCGTGGACTTCACCTTGGAAACATGAAGAAGCCCTCTATCCCTTTCCTTTAAGGATTGCTGTGAGTTACCTGTTGAACAGGGCTGAGTGGCAATGGATTATTCTGACCTTGTCCCAAGCTCTCCATCTCTGGATCTGGGGACTGACTACTGAGCTCTTCCACAAACTAGAAGCCAAACATCCCTATATCTCCTGAACCATCAAGTTACTTTTGACAACAGCCAGGTAAACATAAACTTAAGAAAGCTAAGAAGCCGGACTCGGTGGCTCAGCCTGTAATCCCGCGCCTTTGGGAGGCTGAGGGGAGCGGATTGCCTAAGCCCGCGGGTTTGAGACCCGCCTGGGCAACTTGACAAGACCTCATCTCTACAATAAATCAAAAATTAGCCGGGCATGGTAGCGCGCGCCTATAGTTCCGGCTACTTGGAAGGCTGAGGCGGAAGGATCGCCGGAGCCCAGCAGGTAGAGGCTGCGGTGACCGGGAGCGGCCACTGCACTCCAGTCTGGGTGACAGAGTGAGACTCCAACTCAAAAAAAAAAAAAAAGAAAACTAAGGACAGAAATGTTTTCTTTTCTGCTACTTAGTTGAATTCATTGGACCTAGATGAGGAATCAGAAGCCAAATTGGAACATGTTCCAACTCTCCTTCTAGGGATAGCTGCCTATATCATTACCATAGCTACCAAATGAGCATCTGTGATGTACCATGCTCTGTGCTCAAGTGCATTACACTCATTTTCCCATTTAATCCTCACAACAATCTGAAAAATGTGGCTATTACCACTTCTACTTCCTAGAGACAGAAACCGAGGCTCACAGAGAGTGTCACCTGCCCAAATAACTGAGCCAAAGCCTGCCCTGCACTTGACCATTATTTTTCTTTCCTGAATTACTAGGATGTCTCTTCGATAACTTCAAGGCACACACTTAAAATTTGGCATAAATACAGGGTTCATGGGACATGGTAGAAAGGGAAGCTGACAGATGGTCTGTTCCTGATGGGCTTGTAATTTAATATCACTTTAATCCACAAAGAACATCATGGCAACACTGATACTCTGTCCGTGTGCTTGGGATGGTAACACATGGCATACAATGCTCATCAGTGGTTCCCATACCCCTGGCTGCTTCTCTTTTTTTTTTTTTTTTTGAGTTGGAGTCTAATTCCGTTGCCCAGGCTGGAGTGCAGTGGCATGCTCACAGCCACCCCAGTGTCAACCAGCGATCCTTCTGCCTCACCCTTCTAAATAGCTGGAACTGTAGGCATATGCTACCACATCTGGCTAATTTTTTGATTTACAGTAGAGACAAGGTCTCACCAAGTTGCCCAGACTGGTCTTGAACCTGCGGGCTCAGGCAATTCACTTGCCTCAGCCTCTCAAAGTGCTGGGATTACAGGCTGAGGCACTGAGCCTGGCCACCCCTGGCTTCTTAATCTTACTTACTCCTTGCATGCTGTACAGTTGATCAGCATCAAATAAATAGTAGTGGATGATAATGATGAAAATAAAAGTCAAATAAGTTGGGCCATAGAATCTGCATATACAGTGATTGTATATGCAGACAGAAAGCAGTGTATGTGCATTTTAATAATTGTGTTGTCCAGTGGTTATAACTGATTTTCAGTCTCCACTGGATTCACACCCAGGTCTCAAGACCTGGTTCTGGTATCCCTGTTCCTTTATAAGGTGGGAATTTTTTAATACAAATTTATAGGAGAAAGAATATCAGCAGAAGTGGCTACTTCTGTAGATAAAATAATAAAGCTAATAAATTAGGCTTTGTGTGTATGTGTGTGTGTGTGTGCATGTGTCTGAGAGAGAAAATATAAAAGTTTCAGTTAATCCAATTCTTCATAAGAAATATAATGTGATACAAATAAAATTGTTAAAAAAAAATTCTTCATTTGTATGTTCTATCAGTCAAGGTCCCTGCGAGAAACAGGTGGTCGCTCAAGTTGGGTAACTAAAGAGAGTTTAAGAAGGCAATTAAATCCAACATATTATCATCTCAACAAATAATATAAAAATTATTGAGAAGGCATTTGTTTTTTCATACCAGGTTTTCAAAGTATGTTGTGTATAATACATTTATAGCACAACTTAATCAGGACTAACTACATTCACGTGCTCAGCACACATGTGGCTAATGGTTACCATACTTGATAGCCCATGTCCAAAAAAAATGTGTAAAGTTAAAGACTAAGCCCTCATTGTCTTTCTCTTGGGGACGTGGTAGCTTAAGCAGTGGTAGATACTGTAACTTTCTTGCTATTATTTATTATATGGGAAGCTCAACATGATTCTTAAACAAGTAAGATCCTAGTTCAAAATTTCACTTTATTTCTCAGGTTTTGTTGCCTTCATATGAGGACAGGGATGCCTGTTATTCAGGCCAAGATGCCTGATGGGAAAATTTTGTCTGGATTTAAAGATAACACAAGATAATTCTTTTTTCTTTTTTTTTGAGTTGGAGTCTCACTCCATTGCCCAGGCTGGAGTGCAGTGGCCACCCCAGTATTGACCTGGTGGGCTTCTGCAATCCTGTCTTCCAGAGAGGTTGCACTAGAGTTCCAAGTAGCCGGGACTGCAGGCATGTGCTACCACGCCCAGCTAATTTTTGATTTATTATAGAGAGGAGGTCTCACCAAGTTGCCCGGGCTGGTCTTGAACCCATGTGCTTAGGCAATCCACTCGTCTCAGCCTCCCAAAGTACTGGGATTACAGACTCAGCCATCGAGCCTGGCAAGATAATTCTTGATGCTTACATTCCATACTAGAAATGTAAATTTGAATATTAAAAAAGGTCAATTTTTTTTTTAGTTGGAATCTCACTCTGTTGCCCAGACTGGAGTGCAGTGGCATGCTCCTGGCCACTGCAGCCTTGACCTGCTGAGCTCTGGCTATCCTTCCACCTCAGCTTTCCAAGTAGTCGGAACTACCAAGCCCGGCTAATTTGTGATTTATTGTAGAGATGAGGTTTCGCTAAGTTGCCCGGGTGGGTCTCGAACCCAAGGGCTCAGGCAATTCACTCGCCTTGGCCTCCCAAAGTGCTGGGATTACAGGCTGAGCCACCGAGCCCAGCCAGGTCAATATTTTAATAGCTCCCAGAACAAAGTGTGTCACATAATGGTAAAATTACTATTTTTTTCTTTTTTCTTTTTCTTTATTTTAAAGATGTAGGGTAAAATTCAGGGTTAGGTATACAAATGTTCATTATGCAGGTACGCTTGTTGATGAGGTGTTCCCCTCCCTCCCCTGGCAGTTTCCCACTACTGCCAATCCCTTTCTTATGGTATTATGATAATTGTTCAAGGTCTGAGTATGAGTGAGAACATATGGTACTCTATTCTTTGTTTCTGTGATAGATCACTGAGTATGATTGACTCTAAATCCATCCAAGTTGATGCGAAGTCCATATGTTTGTCCTTCTTTATGGCTGCATAATGTTCCATCGCATATCTGTACCACATTTTTTAATCCAGACTAATTTCAATGACCAGCATGGTTGGTTTTTGCTATCGTGAATAGAGTTGCAACAAACATACATGTGCAAGTATCTTTTTTGTAGAATGATTTGAGTTCCTCTGGGTATATTCCCAGTAGGGAGATTGCTGGGTCATATGGAAGGTCAATTTCTAGTTCTTTCAGAAATTACCACACTGTCTTCCAGAGAGGTTGCACTAGTTTTCATACCCACCAGCAGTGTAGAAGCATACCTAAATAAACTAATTTCCAACTGGGCTT